CAAACTCGGTATTTATTGTTACGAAAATGCAGACGATTCACGCTTTTTAGCGTTTTTAATTAATGTATTTTCAAATAATCTTTATTTATGTAATTCTTCTGTGCGTGTGTATGTAACTGAACTCCTCCTAAACGACTGGGCCGATTTTGATGAAAGTCTTTGTCTGTTCCAGTGGACTCGAGAATGGTTTAGATTTATAATTCGGTTTAGAAATGTTTATTTAATTTTAATTTTTTATTTATAAATTGTTGATCTTGGAATGTTTTACATTGGATCCGGCAGACTGCGTTACGATCGCAGTATCGAATATTCAAAAATCTTTTATTTTGAATTTAAGATGTGTGTACAGGACAACGTCTGTCGGGTCCTCTAGTATTATATATATATATGTAAATTAAGTCAATTCCTACTTAGGTCAGCAAAGAAACGTTTTATTTTAGTTACTTTTTATTAAATAATTACAATTAATATAAGTATGCGCATACGTATGACAGAATCACAAAGATAAGTGACACAACAGAAAGCGATTTTGCTTGCATTTTCTTTGTTTGTTTGTTAATATTTATTCATGAATTAAATTTAATTATTCCAATAAAATAGTATAGAAAAAAGAAAGCACATTCCAGAAATTAGGCCATGCCCCGTGGGGTTCGAACCAACGACATTTGGTTGATTGATTGATTGAATATTAACGTCGCACTGTTCAGCTACACGAGGGCTTTTGGCGACGGACCACGTAATTTTGAACCATGGTCAAGTGACGTGGACGACACCTGAGCTGGCACCCCCCTCTCCGAACTACCACACCACACCAACGGGAGGACGTTTCAGCTCTCGACAGATTTAACGTGCATCGCTGCCCTTCACGGCGGGTATTTAGTGGTACTGGGCTCGAACCCGTGACAAAGCAAGCCACGGTCCGGTACTTATACCACTCGGCTACCGCGGCCGCCCAACGACATTTGGATTAGAAGCCCAACGCGCTATCCATTGCGCTACAGGGTCGCAAGAGCGATTTTCCGTTTTATGTAGGCAGTTGGTCTATTATTTTTGTTTGTTATTTATTCATTTTTTAATTTAATGAATGAATTAAACTTTTGAAAAAACTGTATTAACATCAAGTGTTATCCACTATATGTTTTAAAAAATGTACTTGTACTTGAGTGGATGAAAAGAAAGTATTTTATTAACGACTGAACATTTGTACAAGATATATATATATATATATATATATATATATATATATATATATATATATATATATATATATATATATATATATATATATATATATATATATATATATATATATATATATACAGTCGAACCTGTTTTTCTGCGGTCTTTTTTTATGCGATTTCCTTTTTGTGCGGTTTATGCATTTCAATGGCTTTGGCACCACTGCAAAAATTTCTTTCTATTTACTAGTGACGCAATGGAGAATGTTAGGACTCCCTCCCCCCTGAAAGTCAGGTTTCCTTTTTTAATATTTCATAAATTCGGTAAGTGCGTACTTAGCGTTAGTCAAGCCTTGTGCTCCTAGAGTCCAATATGTGGATAAAAATATGAAGGAATCCAGCTTTCCAACGAATTGTAAAAGCATTTTTTAAAAATAGATACCAGTTAAGAAAGTGTATAAAATTCCAAAAAGGGCTTCAATCATGTATAGCTGGTTATCGTGACATTTACAGGCAACTGAACACCCGTCCTTCGTCACAAAAACTTATTTCTTTCTTTATGTTGCCAAAAAATAAATCAATTAAAATTGCACCTTCAATTGACGAAAGCGCGATTTTGAACTTATCCATTACGGGACTTTGGATTACGATGAGTATCGATGAATTATGTATGTGCATTTTAAAGACTTATCCGTATATACAATGAGAAACTATATATATATTTTAAATTTTTCCATGTGTAATATTTAATTATATTTATTTTGTTATGGAAGTATTCTTACATAAATTTCGTAAATAATTGGCATATTTTATAAATGCGACTTTTTTATGTCATCCCTATCCTAGGCGTAAAAAAGTTTTTTGTAGTATTTCCATGAATTAGTTTGTTATATGTAAGAATTTATGAAATTTTTGAATATTTTTTTGGGCTATTTTTTATGCGGTTCCTATTTACCACACAAAACCAGGTTCAACTGTACATATAAAAAATATATACAGGGAGAGTATGAACTAATAGTAGGAATTGGAAAAAGAATTTTTTAAAGTAAAAATAATGAATGTAATCTTAAAATAATGAAACGATAAAATGAGTTAACACAGCCAAGATATAAAATATGGGCGTAAATTTGACTTTGATTTTTATAAACATCACAATAAAAGCAACAAGAAGGCTATTGTTGACGTACTTTGTGATTTTGAAACTCGCTTAAGTGACGAGGATGACACCTGAGCCAGTATCTCACTCTCCTAACTTCCACACCATGCCAACGGGAAGATATCAGCCCCTTTACACCACAGATCTTCACTGGCATCAGAATTCGAATTCGCTACTTTGCAATGCCAGCCATGAGTATTATGGGCGCGAAGCAAATGAATAAAGTAGCTCCTGCAAGCTACTTGAGGCTGCTATATCAAATTTATTACGTAGTAGTTTGAATTGGATTTGAAAATAATAAGTTGGTGTTTAAATTCTGGCATCATTATATATATATATATATATATATATATATATATATATATATATATATATATATATATATATATATATATATATATATATATACATAAATACAATGCTAATGGTTTTTTAATTTTTAAAATTTTTTCCTTATCAAAAGAATTTTCGATAGAGTAAAATATTTTAGATTGTGACACACATTGAATGTACTTCAAGATTTAAAAAATGCAATAATTTAAGGTATACGACTACCACCATGATTTTGCAAAAGCGTATAAATGGATAATATTTATGATATTTAGTGTCACTTAGATTAGAAAACGTATATAAAATTGCTTGAAAAATATTATTACAATAAAGAATTACTTAAGTATAATACTTTGAGAGAAAATGAGCATAGAATGACCTATTTTCAAAATATTCTCCTTTTATGAAAGATGCTTCTATTACAAAAATATTTTGCCTGTATAAAGCTCAGACCTCTGTACAGATGCCGAACAAGAATTCTTGAAATATATATCTTAGAAGCGGGTTTATCCATATTTTACGGCAACAGAGGGGAGAAATTTAAAGAAAAAAAACGCTTATAATTACTTTACTTGGTAGTAACTCTGAAAATGTGAATTTTTCAAAAATCCTAGTTCAGACTCGCTGGAGAAGTCTTTACTTTATCTAAGCAAAATATTATTATTATAGAAGTATTCTTTATAAAAGGAGAACGTTTTGAGAAAAAATGTTATTCTAAAAAGTTATTCTCTCTCTCTCTAATTTTTTGCCAAAATATTGTCTTTAAATAACTTTTTTTGTGATAATGTTCTTACAACAATTTTGTATGCATATATTCTAATCTAATGACTCTAAATATCATGAAAACTATCCATTTATGTGCTTTTTTAAAATCATGTCTCCGAATGTAGTCGGATACCTTAAATACAATAAAAATCAGTTAAGACGAAACTGAGGGGACTGAAATATTTTTTAGTGTTTAAGGTTAGTGCAAAAAATAAATAAATAAATAAAATAAACAAAAAAATATTCAACAAAATTAAGTTTAACTAGAGTTTATTCTATTTACTTGGATATGTGTTTATACATGATTTTTTATTAACGGCATCAATTATGCATAATCATAATACATCATTCTCAAGTTTTTTGAAACATAAAACATTTGTTGAGTTTTTTGAAAATAATCCGTTATTTTTCTTTGCATTGTCTTTTTTAGCATTGAATCGTCAAAAGATTGTTTGATGTCATCCATTTTGTTATTTATTTCACCATTAGAATGGGCGTCTACTTTTCATGATGTTCCTCGTTTCGAATTACGTGGGAGCAGGAGCTAAATTATTCATTTCCTTTTTCACCATTGGAATCTGCACCAATGATATTTTTTGAGCTTTGAACAAGCTCCAAAATGACTGCCATAATTGGGGTTTTACATACATTATCATCATCTACTACAACGAATTCTTCCGATGATACAGTGGGGCAGTTCAATCCGGCTGGTGTTTTCCGTATTTTGTTCATTCCCAGAAGGGAAATCTTTTCGTGTTAAGGGGAAAAATGCATGAAAGTACACTGTAGTTTGTCGATGCTTTTGTATTATTTCGTGTTAAGCGATATTTCACTTTAAGCGTTTTCGCGTTAAACTTACTTCGCTGTATAATATAAGGAAACATTTAGAACATATTTCTTCTAGATTATCATAGGAAAAAAGATGATAAATTTTCAATTGTTAAATTTTATTGACAGTCTCAATTGATGTAGAAATTTATGATATAAAGTATAATATTTTAGTTAGTATATTATGATGTACTAAAAATTTATTTTAAAGCACTGGCGACATGTGAGGGCTTTTATCGTTCTAAAGACAGCAATGAAATATGTCAATAAATGAAAAATATTTATACGAGAGCAGATATATATATATATATATATAATTGCTAAGCCTAAACTTGTCGTAATAAATATTTATAACAATTAAAAGTTATAAATAACATAATAAATGAGAGAATAAATATATATATTTCATAATATATTTTTTTCAATTTCTACTATTAGTTTCCTATATATATATATATATATATATATATATATAGGAAACGTTAACGTTTAATACTATATATATATATATATATATATATATATATATATCTTGTTAAAATTTTCAATCTTTAATAAAATATTTTTTATTCATCCATTCAAGTTCAAATTCATTTTTTAAACTTGCAGGGGATGACACTTGATGTTAATACAGTTTTTTTCAAACACTATTTTATTAATTAAATTAAAAAAAAATGAAAAAAATCGTAACAAGCAAGAATAATAGTCCAACACCCTATATAAAAAGGAAAGTCGCTTGTTTTGTCCTAGTAGCGCAATGGATAGCGCGTTGGATATCTGCTCCAAGGGTCGTGGGCTCGATTCCCACCTGGGATGGCCTAATTTCTGAGAATATGATTTCTTTTTACTATACTATTTTATTGTAATAATTAAATTAATTAATAAATAGTAACAAACAAAAATGATAGTCAACGATCCTATATGGAAGGGAAAATGGCTTTCTATTTTTCCACTTAATATTGTGATTCTATCTTAAGTATATACATATTTATATTAATTATTATTATTTAATAAAATGTAACTGAAATAAAATTTCTCTTGGTTGTCTTAAGTATAGGAATTAACTTAATTTTTTTTTCAATTACTTGTTGCTCTAAAAACGCAAGAATGGAATATGTCAATATATAAAAATATTTTTTCGAGAACAGATAAATAACGGCTAAGCTTAAACTTACCGTAATAAATATTTATAGCAATCAAAACTTATAAATAATATAATAATTTAAGGAATACAGGTATATTTCATAGAGAGAGAGAGAGTCTATTCTTTTTTTATACAAAACTATTCAAAACACCAGAAGAAAGCAACACAGATAGTTGTTTTGGTTTATTAATGATTCGAAATATTCTTTTAAATGTGGCGATATAATTACTACTTAACCATCATGGGTTGACATCAATTAATGTCGGTCTAGATCACACGAGGGCTGTGCAGGGTAACGACGGTAACTCAACTGATAATTTTAAAGCAAGATTATTTAACTGAGGTACGTATTTCACTTTCCTAATTGACACACCATGTAACATTTTAAATTGCTTTCCACTTTCAGTTTACCAAATTATTTCACACCGCATAATTGATAGAACCCAAGCGACTCGATTTAAATAATAACAACCATAAAAGTTACAATTCTAAGGAAAAAGCTAATATAATTTAATTAAAATTTTGCATCTCTTAAACAATTTATTTCATTATAATATTTGTAACTAATAAAAAATACACATATTTGTAAAATATTCCATTTCAAGACTGTTATTAAAATATTATTACTGAAAGAAATTAATTAGACAAATCACATTCGACCGTATAGAAATTAATTAATTTTGTAATTAATAAAAATATATATTTGCAAAATAATTCTTTTCAAGATTCTTATTAAAATATTATTACAGAGAGAAATTAACGAGACGAATTATTTGTTCATATAGAAATTAATTATAAATCGTTTGGCATTGATATATTTCAATATTAATAACAAAAAGAATGGCAGTGCCCTAAATTGTATTTTACAAACGATGCCCAGAGATTTGAAATAAAAAAAAATCCGAAGAATTCAATTCCAAAAAAATGTAAAGGTTTCAATTAAAGAACAATTGTTACAAACAATTTTACAAACGAACAATAATATTTCGAAGTGAAATGAAAAGAAAATTAGCATAAATTTAAATAAGAAGCTGATACATTATTTCAACTTACTTATCTATTATTTTCAAAAAAGTATTTTAAACTATTTTGAAAAGAATTCTTATACAGCCGCCAATGGTATATATTCTAAGATAAATTACTCTAATGTATATCTTTCCCTTCCTCTGCATATGCATACTCGTAATAGTTTAGAAGTAGTTTTTTTACTATATCCAGGGCAACCTATTACGTTTCCGCTTTATTGGCGACTTAAGCCAATTTTTTTGCCAAGTTCCCTAACTCGTGCAAATACAGGATGATTCTAAAATCATGGGGAAAACTTTGAGGGTTGATAGAGTTCACTAAAACAATTTTTGTATAGAATACATGAGTGGAAGTGCCACTTTGAGGTACAAACAGAAAAAACAACACATTAAAGAAAACATAAAACGTTCAGTAGAAGCATACTTAATGAGTGATTCCGTACGATAAAAGGATAAAACAGTTTTAGAAATTGTATCCACCAACAATCCAACAGTAAATCTCTCCAAATGGTTAGTTGACTGACATGTAGACGACATGCGACAGCCCTTGTACTTGTGTGGGGTATTTCATCCACATGGTCTAAGATGGCTTCTTTCAGGTGTGTTTGTCGTACAGTCCTCAATCTACCCCTTCCATTAATACTGGCGGTATATGACCAATTTTCCCACATCAGTCGCTGAAACATCTTGTAATTCGGCATTAATCTATAGTAGAATGTCGTTTATTCGAACGTTTATTATCCGGAGCGTCAAATATCCGGACCAGTTTTTTTGTCAACTACATGTACTGTATATGAATACGTTTTCGAACAGTGCAATTCTCAACAGTTGTTTCGCGTGAGACCTCAATATGAAGGACGCCTGTACGATGTTAGCCGAAGCGAAGGACTCGCTCGAAAGACAGAGTCTTAAAAATGCATGGAATAAGAAAAAAGGCGAAAAAGACTTCACTGATGACCACAGGGAGAAGATTACCTACTATCTATCTAGGATTGTCCAATCTATCCTAGGACTTCAAGAATGCGATGCAGAGGATGTAGGTAAAGGTAAAATTGCGACATTTTGCACATATTTTTCTTTTAATTCGAGCCCGTTTCCCGCATGCATGTGATGATTTTCTTTATTCGTATAGTGTCTAGTTCCATATACTGCATGGATCGCATTCGGTTTTCGGTTATCCGAACGGTGTCCGGTCCGAATTGATTCGGATAAACGAAGTTCTACTGTACTTGTAAAGCGTTCCTGATATAGCCGTTGAGCTGCTTTGCCATTACCATTAGCGGTGTTGTACATTAGCTGCATGCCTGCCTTTTCGCTATTAGTAAAATCACGCCTAACGATTGAAATATCAAGCCCAAATGTAGGTTTTGGTTGTGTAGCCGATTACTGGCACACCGCTTTGCTGCCATCAACTGTCACCAATATTGTCAGCCAATCACGCCATAAAGTTCGCCAAACATGCATGATGATTTGTGGATGCAATTTCTAAATCTGTTTTAACATTTTCTCTACGGAATCCTTTTTAAAGTATGCTGTTAATGAATATTTTATAATTTTGTTGTTATTTTTTCTGTTTGTGCCTCAACGCTGCACTTCCGTCCATATATTCCTATACAAAAATTGTTTGTTTTAGTGAACTCTACTACCCCTCAAAGTGTGTCCCATTATTTCGGAATCACTCTGTATTTTAATTGAAGGAATCATTTGACCCCAAAGTTCACCAATAAATTCAAATCACGAAGAAACAATTATCGAGCAAACATGAAAGCTCCCCAACTGTCTTAGCATTCTTAAAAATTTGATTCTAATTCAATTCCTTTGTGAACTTTAAAACTTGGCATTACGTATGCTGTAATGCAGTTTTTTCGTAGTTACTCGGCTGCAGTACAGATTCTGCCCCAAGAGTTAGGAAGAATTCTGCAAAGAAATGGGTAGTAGCAGTTCAACCACAGCCGAAATAAACTAGAAAAAAAAAATGCGGTATAGCACATGTATCTCTAAATTCCAAGGGTTAAATTCCCGATCGTGTATAAATTAGTGTAATATATCGATGTTCTGATGATTCTGATTTTTGTATGCGTTTTCTTAGAATCTGATATGAGTTATGGGAGAAATTTTTCTCTGTTACAACATTTTTGGAAAAATGGATTCATTATTCCAGAAAGCCAGCATTTGAAAAGGGCCCAGGAAAATTTTTTGTTAGTTGAAACAAAAGTGCCTTGGCGGATAAGAATGTGTACGAACTGAGATGATAACAAGGTAGAGATGTATATTATTTTTAAATATTTGTTATTTAAAAGTTAATGTATAGAAACAAATTATATAAATACAGAATATAAAAATAATAGCAAATAAGGCATGATGCTAGAAAGAAATTGGAATTACCTCTGCTTCAATATCGAAGGGATAGGTACCGTTGACATCTTTCAATAGAAAAGTATGTTCTACCTTCATACTTCATCTGTTCCAAATTTGAGTTCTGCAAAGAGATACAAATACGAAAAATAAATCACAACAAACTCATATTGATGGAGAAAAAAACATTTTTTAACAAACAAATTATTTATGAGACTTATCATCCAAGTTTTTCATTTTTAAAATAGGTTTTACGAAATTCAGTACATAAGAGTTTTTGTGACGAGCCCAAATTACACAAATAATATTATTGAAAACTTTTTGGAGTTTGTTCGATTTTCTGTGGAAAGGGTCTTGTAGGTATAAAAATCATTTGTTGGCCAATAGCGAATGCTCTTTTAATAGTGATACATAAATAGAAGTAATATTGGCAACAGAGGAGGTGGGTAAAGATCGGCCTTTTTTCGCCCATCGTAGTCATGAAAATTCGGAGTATTTATTGGGGAGCTATATTAGTATATTTATGTGAACTTTAGGTATTGATCTTTACTTTTATTCTAAAAATAGTAAGAAAAAAAATAGCAAGTCGTATAAAAAAGTCATCAAACTTGGCAAATTCGTTGAGTTTTGTTATTTTAAGCGCCTTTTCTAATTTTCATTAAAAAAAAACTGTTAAGCGCTATATATTTGGTCTCTCAAATACTACAATAATAAGGCTTTTAAACTGATATTCTCATTTGTTTTGGTGCATTGAGCGCGTTGATGTAATACGAAACAAAATAGCTTGTCCGCGAATCGGTCAAACTCATACGTCACGTGCGTGTTCAAACGTGTCTTCATTCGCGCTTGTCATATTGTAATACAAATATTTCTTTTGTATTCTGGCTATTATTTTACATAGTAATGTATGGGTTTTGTGTATTTTATTACAAAATAATGCACTCATGAACATCTTAATTAATCGGGGCTGTACTCTGTGTAAATCGAGAAGATATTCCTCAGTTATTTGATTCCAGTTGAGATCACCATACACAAGTTCAAAAGTATATAACACATTGATAAGAACAGATATAGGTAATAATCCAATCATTGAAAGGTATTGTCAGAGCAAAGTAGGTGCTAGACTTAATGGCTGCGATGCACATGTTGCATCTGTACTTTGGTACTTGGGATACTGGCACCATAATCACACTCAAACAAAAACACCAAGTCGTGGATATACTGATACACTAAAAGAAGATGTTACTGGATAGTCCAGCGAAGATCCAGCCAGTGAAAACGAGAAGGAAACA